CTACCGGAAACAAACAAACAAGCAAGCAGATACGTAACACTATCATTAAACCCACCCCTAGATTTTTTTCTGATTAGAAATGCATAGGATAACTACCTCGCTCTTGAAAAGAAAAAAAACAACTTTCATGTCAGTTGTCAGTAGGGATCATAATGTAGTGAGAATCTTTTCCTCCCCATGCCACATTAATGGACACGCCCCTATCTAGTCTCCTGTGTTTTGTAAATACCCTAAACAACACTACGAACTTTGTTACAAATGTTATAAATCAGAGATATCAGATACGTGCTTTGAACCCTTACCGCTATAATTTCACAATCATGACCATGCCCTCATCTTATCCTTGACTGTGGCGAAGGGGGACAACACCCACCCCGGTTGTCTTCCTAAAGAAGACTTTAAACCGAAATAACTACCAGAATTTTGGATTTAGAACAGGATGAAATGTGCAGTCATAATGTTTTGACAAAGCTGTAGGCAGTTTCATCCCTTTTCATATGACATTCCTTCTGTATATATATCTCTAATGAGAATAGAAATAAACGTTTATTAACGAACGAAATTGATAGTTTGAAGCCAGCACTGTAAAGAGAAGGTTAGGTCAGTATCGTGGATGGTTTAAATAAGTGCTGCAACAGTAAGGCTAGGCCTGTATAACGGCAGTTTTAAATTGATAGTTTGAAGCCAGCACTGTAAAGAGAAGGTTAGGTCAGTATCGTGGATGGTTTAAATAAGTGCTGCAACAGTAAGGCTAGGCCTGTATAACGGCAGTTTTAAATCGGTTATATTGAGAGTACTCCTGGTGGTTAGGAATTTCGACTCACAATTTGCAATTGGTAAGTTCGAAACCCATCATCGAACTTGGTCTCGCTCTCAGCCGTGGGGATATTATAATGTAACGGTTAATCCCATTTTCCGTTGGTAAAAGAGTAGCCCAAGAATTCGTGGTGGTGGTGGTGAGAGATGTTAACTAGCTGCCTTCCCTCTAGTCTATCATTTTTAAATTAGTGATGGCTAGCGCAGATAACACTCGGGTAGCTTTGCGTAAAATTAAAAAAACAAACAAACAACTTTCTATTACAAATATATAAAAAATAACGTTTCAACGATACCTCATTCAGAATAACCGAATAGGCAGGTAAACAAATACACTAATAGATAGTTTCTTCTTTTTTCTTTTCTTTTTTCGTTCGTTATAGAAGTTTAATTACAGATTCCATGGGACTTTTGTCACAGGATGCTTGTGTAACCTATAATAGAAAATTACACAATATTTGAAAATAGACTTCTTCCTGTTTGTAGTCACAACCACGTGAACGCGTGTGTCTGTTGCCTTCCTCTTTTCATTATTTTTTTTACTTCATAGAATACTCCATATCAGAAGAAGGATGAAAAATTGGAGCAGCGCCAATGACGTTTTTGCAGGGTAAAAACCCTCCTTAAACAGACGTTTATATAGGGTAAATAACCTTCCTTAAATAGACGTTCTTTACGTAGAAACGAAAGTTGAAACAGTATTGACAAGTACTTTTGAAGTTCTTGAGAAAAACGGTATTAAATACTCCAATACAAGTGATTCACTTTATTAAGTAACGTTGTAAATTGCTTTTGCTGTAAGTTCATGTGGCGAAGTATGATTAAGATATACATATACCTTTCCAGATACATCTTCTGTTAACTACTGCTTGAAAAATAAATCTGATTAAAGTAACGGAGATTTGCCTGCAGGGATATCAACAGATATAATTATTCACTCGTGAGAACTGTCTGTTATTAACAGGATAGGGTTGTCGTTTTGTTCCCTTCCTGTACTCTGTTAGTTTAGAGGTTAGTAGACGTTGTATTTCCAGGTCTAAATTAATTTCCTCTTTAGTGAATAAGACAGGTCCGCTATATTGTATTTTCAAGTAAAATCCAATTTTTCGACAAATATCAGACAAGCAAATCCGCAAGTAACAGCAGATTCGATAAAGAAATAAAGGGAGTGTACTATAATTGAGAACTTGACTAAATGTTAAGTTGCGTTATAAATAAACTGATTGGATACGTTTAACAAACAATGAAAATAATCTTTATTTAAACACAACATAAAAGACAAGTGGACGATGGGCTCTATTGAATAAGTGAATAACTCGCCAGCTTTTCGTATCTCAATGAAAACAATTGGTAAAGAATAGGAAATTAAAGTCATTTTAGCTTTAAACACCGCAATATGGTTGCCATGATCGTTACTATGGAAACCATAGATATTTATATAAGTGAATCTGGAAGTAGATTTGTATTTTAAGAAAATAAAGTTTTTGGGAAATGGTTTAATTTAGGCAGTGGCATTTGTTATGGAACTAAAAAAAACTGCTATTTTTTATTAATAGGTTGGAAATACAACTCTTTGAAACTACAGACTGTATTCTGCAGATAATTGATAGTAGTTTACGTCAATGCTGACACAAAATAGATAGATATTTATTATAAGTATCAAAAACATCTGTTTCTTAACGGTATACGCCCAAAGCCCTATAGTTTTCTTGAATATACGTGAGGGGTTTGGAACTATATTTAAGAAAACCTTTTAGTGTTGTGGGTTTGTTGGGTACCAAAGTTTTGGTCTCTGTGATTCTATATTCAAGAAATTGTTAATTCCGAAAATTTAAACAGTATATAATCTGCGGGTATTTTAAATTTCCCTGCAGTTAACTTCAATTTCATGTAGAAGTCAGAGATATGTTGTTAACGTGAGCGAATTAGCAAACGTGAGTTATTGTTATGAATTAGTGCACGTGGTATTTTACGTCAAAACATTCACCTGGTGACGCAGCTCTGGCGTAACATTTTCTTGTGTAGTGCGCAGACTCACCATTTTAACCTAACGCTCACTTCGAAAACAGAAGCATTTAGCGATCTGCGTTATACTACGGTGCAGTGTAATTTTTTTGTCATTGCAGCTGTCTGCGGAGAAGTGCGCTGAAAATTATTATCCGTGTTGTTAGGTTATCAGTTTATCGAACATTAACAACATTGCTTTCATTGTAATATTTTCAGAAGTTGTGGAAACGACCAGACTATCAATGGAAGCTCAACAACTATGTATTACACCGTCGAAAGGTAATTTATTATATAAAATAGACGTTAAAAAAGCATTCGATATCGAGCCTAATAACCTAACTCACTGTAACTTGTAAAGCAAACTAAGTTTCAATTAATATGCGAGATGATTGTAACTACTAGTAGTAGTAGAGACAGATAAACTCATAAAGTAATTTTTGTTTTCAGTTACTGTGGTTAGAAGTTAATAAAAGTAAAACAAAAGCCTTGGTATAATAGCTTGTAAGAAGCCAGTATTTTCAATAATGTGTGTAACCAAGTTATGACGAAAAGTTCTTCATCTATCAGTTAGCTGATTCTTTTTTAACTGCAATGGTTATTATATTTTTTGTTTGCAGCAGTTTTTGCGGTACACAGCTTGAAATTAAGTGTAAATAAAAGTATGGGTCTGTTGTGATCTTTAAGTTTAACACGTGCTTAATTTTTGAATGACAGATTGTAATCAAGTTTGTAGATTCTAATTTTCTATTGGAAAAAATAAATTGTTTATCATAGTTGGTGTACAATTTCATGATTAATGTGCGTTCAATACTGACATTCTGTGAATCAATTTCATATTGGTGTAAACGTTGTTCTATCGTTGGGCAAATTCTTTTAATTTGTCTTAAAATAACTCTAAGTCCAGTCCACGTAATGATAACAAGTTAGACTATTTCTTCCTTACGTTTCTCCAAGCTGACTTCACTTATACACTGTTGTAGGCCTAAGGAAATACCTCGCTAATTTATACTACCAGTAACGTAAAAAGAAACATACTTGTACAATTCTCGCGGCTAATGGATCACATAACAGAATAAACACGATAAGTAACACGGATCCAAATACTAAACTGAAAATAAATTTTCACTGAATGACGGAAAACACAACTAACACAATACTCATTCACTATTAATCATTCACTTAAACTAAAGCAAAACACTGACTCAATGCTTCACCGATTCTTGTATTTATATTCTGCTCTCATCTGTAGATAGTCCTCGAACTTATTAAATTTTTTTTTACTTTAAATTTAAAACTTTCTAGGCCTACTCCCACAAACTTATTTGATCATAACGCCATGTTCCTTCTAGCTAGCGTTAGAAATAAAACATTGAAAATATAGCTTATGCCAATACTGAAATTCAATTAAGTAACAATAACTGCGTTTATATTCGTAGCAAAGAATTAATAGTTTTTTCGTTTGTCAGCGTGTGATATTTAAATGTAATAGAATATGAAATATCTTAAATATGCTTGAAAAGCAGTAGGAAATATTTCCATGAATTTCAATAATACTAGTTGAATAATATGAACACATTTTTGGTGCGTGTTTTATACAATATACAAGGTAATATCAGTGGTGTAGTGCTAAATTTTGTAGTGACGGAACCCTGACAAAATTTGAGACGTGTGACGTCATTATGGGGGAAAAGGTAATTTCCATTTTTATGAGTCCATTTTAATAAAGAGTATATATGTAGCAATAATTATTTGAGACCACTTATATTAGTACTAAATTGAATACACGTATATTAACGAGAAAACATGCAACCCAACTTCAGTTAAATTAGGCAGCAAAGAAAAACAACTGGCTACCATAGGAACATCACTAACATAGAACAAGTTTTAAAAACGTTTAATTTATTGGTTTACTATATTTCTACCTTTACTAGAGTATTAGGAGCTTTGACTTTTATAATGTTTTGCGCACCTTCTGTTCAGTCAACACAAATAACTTTAAAGCGTTTTTCGTTGTATATTAAGTAAATAATAAACCTTCAAAAACATTTTACTGTTCTAAAACTCTTACTCCTACTCTTGAGCTTGAGCGATCGCACAGTGTCTGACGAAGAGTGCCAATGTGTGTGCTGGAACATTTGAGATAGCTCTACCAGTAGACACGGGGGATCGCACACAGCTAGAGTGTTATCTGGCATTCAGAGTTTGGTAATGAAAAGCATAAACTGAATAACTTATCTTCTATGTATACATACTTTTAGCTTTTTGAAGTGTCTGGACTCGACTCCAATTTCAGGTACAGGAGCGTTGCTCCGGCAGCACTATACCCTTGCGTAATACCGAATAGTGAGGAAAATATTTTTATACTTCTTCGGAGACAATTTCCTTTGCTCATGCCCCAGTCATTTTTCTCGTTTTCTCATAAATCACACAAAATTTTCTTCAGCAGTTGAAAGTTCAAGACCTCCTGACTATCTGCTATTTAGTTTAAAATTTCTTAAATGTTAATTATCAGAAGATTTTGTTGTGTAACTGTAAAAAAACGTTTTTAGAATAAATAGAACTGGAGAACTATATTTTATTAGAGTGAAGAACGATGTAATAGTATGCCGACCATACTGTAGTAAGTTGTATTTCAATGTTTTAATTTAGGTGTTAGATAGAGGGCGCATGGCGTTAGATCGAGAAATTTAGACTAACGTCTAGATAAGGGCACAGTATATATAAATATTAGTAATCAGTGAATGAGAAGTTAGTGAAGTATTAATTGAAGTTATTCAGTAGTGATTGATTATTCAGTGTGTGCGAAAGATCGAGTACAATTAATCATTAAGATAGTTCGATTTGTTATCAATCAAATAAATTTCTGTTAAACGTTAAATAGTGTATTAGGCTGGCTGCAATTAAAGAGTTTGTTAAAAAGTTTGTTGACTTAAGCCTACAACTTACGTCAAAAGTTATTGAAAAAATAGGTTAATCCGTACGTTGACTGGACTGGCGTTATATTTACAAGGTATTGCAAAAAAACCCGCACAACAATAGAACATGTTACAATAGTAAGAAATCTGCTTTATTCAGCGCCGACAGTCCTTTAGCCCAGTATCAGGGTTCATCTGCCGGCTTAAATACGACGCTATTTGTGTCATGGTTACTTAAATAACTGTTTCGGTGTGACCCAGATTAAATTGATGAACTGTAATTTTTATCGATTTTATTTAAGTCATTAAACACCAGAACTTGGTTTATGATTTGTTTTAATACCAAATTGTTTTTCATTAATAATATCTATTCATCTTACGTGTAATTAACTTTACTGATCATTCAGAAGAACTGGCGAACACGTATGCTAGTCTCTTTTGATCCCGGAGCGGGTTATTTGACCATAGCGTCAACGAGAGAAGACTGCGTTAAACTGTATTTTTGTTAGGCTTTAAATTTGTTAGTTTTGAAAGTGGGTCTTTTCAGAAAAAAGTCTGCATATAGACAATGATATTTCATTGTCATATTTTATTTTATTTTTATTTGTGTATTTTCTGACATTATTACGATTGCCGGATCTTTTACACCATTACTCGAAAAAACTGTTTGTGTGCCCGCCTATAACTAACGAACTGTCGAACCGATTGTCATCAAACCTGTCAGGTTCCCTTAAGACTCCCCGAGGAGTGAGTGACATAAGGGGGGGTTTGACGTTCTGAATTGATTATCCTATGTCACCTCCGCGTGACTCTGTGTTTCCCCCCGTACGTTGAATTGGTACGTCGGCTGGTGTAACATAAAATATGATAGGCAACTTAATGAAGCTGCAATGAAACACAAACTCTCCTATCCCAATTTTGTTTCAGTTGCTTCCTTTTGTTAATTCTGATTAGCATCATGCTCCTATGTGGTTTAGAAGGGCTAATGATAAAAAAAATCGGGTTTCGATACAGACAATCCTTTCTGTAGCTTTATGGTTCACAACAAACAATTGACATAATAAGTTTAGGATATAGTTAATTCTTAATGTTTTATAATTGCATATAAAGCTATATAATTATGAAGTGGCTTTTAATCTTTATTAAGAAAAAAAAGTTCTACAACGTTACTTAAATTTTATAGTAGTTAGCATACCGGATTGTGGATCCGACGGTTCATGGATGGCGTCCCGTTGCTAGGAACAAAAATCACGCTCGGAACTTTCAGACCGTGGGCATGTAATAAGAATGACAGTCAAATCCCACTGTTTCATTAGAATAGCCCAAGAGTTGGTGGGTGCTTTTGACTAGCTGCCTTCCTTTTAGTATATCAGTTCCAAATTATTAGCGAATAGCGTATATCGACCTTGTGTAGCTTTACGTGAATACCCAAAACTTTAGAATACTATATAGTGTTTTCTTTTATAACAATATCTATGTAATGACTGAGTCGCAAGTTCTGGGAATATTTGTAAATATCACAACAAAAAGTTTGAACAATGGTGTCAACAAATTTCAATGAGGTGACGTAGTTTCAAACGGAGAATCCGCTTTTATAAGTATTTTTTACGTCTCTCTTCGTTTGTTAATCATTCGTAAAAATTCTTTCAGAAGAACTTCAGCGATACGAGTGCTTTCTTAAATAAAACTAGTTTTTTCTTTCTCAATACAACTTTGCAATACACTTAATTTCCACAGTCACTCTAATAACTTAACAAACGCTATAATTTACTATAATTCACAACGAACGATTCACGCTTACTACCGCGCTTGACTCAATTGTCCGTCTCTATCTCTGTCTGCCCTTCAATTCCATTGTTTGGCGCACTTGTATACAAGAATACCGCACATCTAGTAAACACTCGAGCATTCACGAACCTTCAAGACTATCATGAGGTGTAACTAGCGTCACGTGACTTCCGCTATCGTAACAGTATTATTAATAATTAGTAATAAAAACAGTCATAATTCTAGTGTAAACGATGTTATCATTACCCCTTAAGTTTGCTTTCTTACAGAAATTTGGTGTTTTTTCAAACAGCTTAAGTACAGAGTGAAACAGGAACTACCAGCCAGTAATAGATAAACAATAAATATTACAGTTGTAACCTCGTTGTATTTAGAACTTGGTTTTAAATACAACCTTCCTATGTCTATTGAAACACAGCATTAAAAAACAAGTAAAGAAAAAAACTTTTCAAAAAGGAAGAAATGTAGGGATGGTTAATATCAATTCTTCAAAACAATGAAAACAAGATAGTAGGGGTGGCAGTTGCATACTCCCTATATAATAGCACAGGCAAAAATTAACATGTAAATATATATATAAAACTATTCAATCACAATTGAATTGAATTTATCCTATTTTTGTCTGTGTGCCTGTGCTATTATGTAGGGATGATGCACATATTATCCCTACTATCTTGTTTGCTTTGTTTTTGAAGGACTGATATTAGCCATCCCTACATTTACTTCCTCTTTTGAAAAGTTTATACTCGTATGTGTTTTGGAATGATCCCTTGCAGTTTTAAGCGTTTTAGGGTTAATTACCGTTACATAAGTAAGCGTTATGTACTGTAAAATGGAGGTTGTTGAATAATTTCGTAATTGCATAATCACTTCAGTAGGTTTGCGCCCGTGGCTTTAAGTTCTTGCTACTTAAAGGAGAGTACAAGAAAGTGAAACCTAATTTTATTTTGAGACGGCCATTTTGCAGTACGTACGCCAATTAGACATTTAAAGCGTAACAAAGGGAGAAAGCAGTCTGGTTCATTTGCTATTGGTAAAGTGATCGTGTGTACAAGATCATTGAACGAAGGTGACAAATACTGTACTATGCTTGACGTGCCACCAGTAGCCCGAATCAATAACAACGCAAAGTTTGTTTTAAATAGTGAATAACGTTTTCTTTGGAGAACTTTGTAGTTTTGTGGAACGACAAACGTATTTAAGTAGTACCGAAGTCCATGTTTACGAAAAATATTTATTTACGTTTAAAGGCCAACAATCTAGGGTGCCAGGAAAGAATCGTAATATACTGTTTTTATTTTCAAGTGAGAATTTATTTTTACTTAAGTAAATAGTGGAATAATTCTCGGTAAATAAATTTACTTTTACATTACGAAAAATAATCAGTTTTTTGTCTTATCATAAATTTTATTTGTAACATTACAATTGGAAAATAATATAACCAGGTTTATAATTGAATGAATACCTTGATTTTGATAGTATCATGAACCACTAAAGTGGTTCATAATAGGGACCGCCCACGAATTTTACAAAATATTATAGAACATACGAGCGAGAACCATTTTAAAAAAAAAGACTTGTACTTGAAACAAACGCAAGACCTTCTATCTCAATGGCTAAGCCTGCTAAGATATTGATAATAGCAAAGAAGTTGATTTTCCGATTGTTAGAAAAAATTCATCCATTTGTTCTTCATATTATTAATATTCATATTATTCTTGTTTCATAAGCGTACAGAAAAAATGGCTATCAATATTTTATTCAAATCTAGGCAAACCTACCAAAAACAAAACAAAACTTGCCATGTCATGGGACTGTTTTTGTGTTGATTCTTGAAAGAGAAGAAAAAATTATATCCATCTTTTCAACGCTACTGGTCAAGTTTCTCTTCGAAGCTTTCAAGCACAGAAGCCTACAGCAAAAACGGCTAAGTATGCTGCTCTAAAATCTATGCACAGCTACTAAATAAACTTCTGCTCAGGTTGTAGGACTACTTTTAAGTTGATTATTGAAAGTTAATATTTCGTCTCTCTAAAAATTTCTTCTTTGCTACCAACATAAACTCTTCAAAGCCATTCAAGCATCCCAGAAATGTATAAGCCATTTAAGCACTAGTATACTAGTCGGAAATGCTTGGTTTTATTAGAGTAAACAATGTATATATGTAAAGTATCCAGCCTTATTATTACTGATTATAGTTCTACAAGCGGCTACAGAAAAAACTACTATGAATATTTTACAATAGGAATGAGATGTCATGGGTAGTTTTAAAATTAATTCAAGCACTTTCGTTTTTTCGTCCCAAAATTTTCTCTATGTTATTCACTTTCCGCCATCGAAAAAATTCGGTGTTTTACTAATGCGCATTAATTGGAAAATATGTTGAGCAACTTTTAGTGCATTAATTGGAAACTGCCATGTTGAGGATTCATAATTTCTCAAGTTCGCTGTACTTCATTATTTCCCGAGTTCACTGTTTTACTTTGTCTCTACGTAGTTTCTTGCAACTATTTCAGTGAGTTTTCTAACAGTAGATAATTAC